AATGATAAAATCCTGGAACCAGACTGTTAAAACTGAGAATTTGCAGAAGACAGGTGAGGTGCTGAAAGGCTAAAGAAGCTTTGACTTTGTACTAAACAAAAAAAAAAAAAAAAAAAAAAAAAAAAAATTAAAAAAAAAAAAAAGGGGGGGGGGGGAGAAGAGGAGGAGAGAAAGAGCAGGAAACTTGCAGATTAGTCATCTTAATTCTGATTCCTGGAAAAATGTGGAACAAGTTACAAAACCTAAAATATTTTTCAGTTATCTCTTATATATTTCTGAACAAAACAGGTCAAAATAACTTTTTTTTTAATACCGACTTTAGCTGTATGGGTGGAAGTTGATGTCATATGTCTATTTTTTTAATAGCGTGACAGTCGCATAACGTTCTCAAACAAGCTAGAGGATAGGCCAGATGGAACTGCTGCATGTTTGGATAAAAGACTGGTTGGAAAGTTATGACTGGAGAGTTGTTAGCAGTAGTTTATTAGAAAAACAGTGTTCTACTGAACTGTGTTGCAGTCCAATACTATTTAGTATTTTCTGAAAAAATCTGGATGATAGACATGAATATACTTGCTAAGTCTTCAGATAATACTAAGCTAGGATAACACTAATGAAAGTGTGTGGGAAGGCAGAATTAGAATTTGAAATTAGTTTGACATTTGGAGACATGATTTGAATGAAGAAAAGGTGCTATTCAGTAGGAGCAGTTTTGCAGGAATAATCAACTGCACAAGACACAAGATGAGGAACAAGTGTCTAGGTAGCACTAGTGTTGAAAACAATCTAGAGGATACAGTGAATCAGATGCTGGCCGTGAATCAAGAGTGTCATGCCGCTGTGGAAAAGGCGTGCTGGGATGTATAAAAGGGAGCTTGCAAAGATGCACAAAATAATCTTTCTACTATTCAGGTAAGGCTTTTGAACACAAGAGCAGCAAGGAATGATCAGAGCTCTATAAAACATCATTGAGAAGACTGAAATGCAATGATTTTGATTTTAAAGAGGGAAGAAGATTGAAGAAAGGCTCAATTATTCATATATGCACAAGGTGCAACAAAAAGGAAGAATTCTTTCTTTATATCTAGTTGATAAAATGGGAAATAATAGTCTTATGTTTCAGCAATGGTCTTTAATATTTCAGATTAAACATCTTGGAAAATAGTAGCGAGTTGCTAGTGTTGAGGGTAGTGGAGCAGCAGAATTGCGCTGAATTTTTGGTTGTTCAATTTTGATAATAAATTGCTTTTAATTCTTCTTCACCTTTTCCCTCAGCCGAAAATTGACTTCGGAGAAGTAGAGGAAAGAGGTTTTTTAAAAAATGAAGTGGTATATTTTGAAACACTGCATTATTTCATTCATAATGCAGAATTCTATCTAGTATAAAAATTGGATTTCCAACCATCATGCCATGCTTGGAAGAATCAGTGCTGAAACCAGGGTGGTTGTGGTGGTTCTTGTCATTTTTAATCTGTGGCTGTTTTGTTTTGCCAAGGTTACATTGTCTTCAGCGGTCCGCGTCGGGCAAATGGCATTCAGGGACTGCGATTTATTATCCAGTCTGAAAAGCCACCACACTACTTAGAAAGCAGAGTTGAAGCATTCTTAAAAACTATGGAAAAGTGCATAGAAGATATGACAGAAGAGGCCTTCCAAAAACACATCCAAGCTTTAGCAATTCGTCGCCTAGACAAACCAAAGAAGTTGTCTGCAGAATGTGCTAAATACTGGGGAGAAATAATTTCCCAGCAGTATAACTTTGACAGAGGTAAGAAAAATTATAATTATTTTAAAGATAGAAATACAAAACTACAAAACCAAGTGCTGAAACATGCTACTGCTTTTTGACAGAAATGCTTATTTAAAATTTAGCAACTAAAATTTTGTGCATATTGCTAAATCACTCATTGCTGAAAATTGCACAGAAGTATTTCCAAGATTATTTCTAGGGCACAGTGTGCAATTCTTTGCCATTCTCAGCAGGGCAGTAGTGAACACCTCTGTTAGAAGAAAGGCGAAGCAGTGGCTGATACGCTGGAAAATGTTCATTTTTCATAGAGGTCCTGGGCAGGTATTTTACAGTTCCACAACTGCGTTCAACTCAAAAGCAAGGGAAGCGCTGAAGTCTGACCGTGTTTGGGACCATGATGGATGTGAATGCAGCCCCTGGGAAGAGCTTCAGCTTTTACTGGCTCCTTTTTTACGTGCTGTTTGTGCTTGGTAGCCCCTTAGCTCCAGCTCTTCCTTCTGCCTGGGGACATAAGCTCACTCGGGGAGGCCGGGCTCCCTGTGTTCTAGGGCCATTAGCAGCAGCAGACACCGCTAATCCCTGCCACTTCACTCCTAGTGTGAGGTACCCGAGGCTTCCTTGACCTTCTCTTTCCATTAAGGCTCAGGGAGACGCAGAGCAGGCCCAGGATTGGAAGTGGTTTGGATGGAAGTGTCCCTCAAGCATTGATGCCCTGTAAGATCAGATTTCTTCCACGGAGTTGGGACACTTGCATTTATACGTGTGCCTAAAACTGAGAAGCTTTCAAGTGCACCTTTGTCACTCGGGACAGTGCAGGCTCCTTGGTGTCCCCCCATGCAGGGTTTTGTGGCAACAGAAGGGAAGTGACAGCAGAGGTGGCAGCACTGGCACAGGATTGGTCTCAACTGGCAGGAGGACTAGAAGAAACATTAATTTTTTAAAACCTGGATATTTTAAAGGTTGTAGGCTCGTAAAGCCTATAGGATTACAATCCTGCTTGTAGAGTTCTTTGTGAAAATGGGTGTAAAATTTTGTAAATTGATAGCATAATGCTGTGATCTTACATACCGTTTAAGTTGTGTTTTTCCCATTTTTACCAGTGTTCGGAGATTTTAAAAGCAGAATATTGAGGCATGTAAGAAAAATTCAGAGCAAGGTTTTATTTTGTATTATTAAATAATACATTTGGAAACAAAATAAAGCTGTTTCTTACTGTAAAGCTACATGATTCTTAGCCACGATTAAGCTTTGAAACCTAATTTTTGTTTTGTTCACTTTGTGCTCCATTAAAAAGTTTTCTAAACAAATGAACAAAAACCCAATCTGATGCTTCATAAATGATTTTTAGTTTGTAATAGAAAAAATCCTGTTTCTGTTTTTGGTGTGGATCAGCTTGCGTCACACTTTCATGTCTCAGCTCTTATTCACAGCTGTAATTTCCAATCTCCCATGCATAATAAGCTTCCTACATAAAATTCACTTTGTATCCTGTAACTTCTCTTTTGCTTTCCTTGCTCAGTATTGGCCTTTCACGATAGCAAATACAGTCGTCTTTTGTAGGCAGTGACTGTGAACTGCTTTAGTACTGAACAGTTTTGAATTGGCATCTGGCTTGGTCTCAGGAGAATGAGAGCTACTGACAAAAAGATTTCATGCCCAAGGATGAGAGGTGGTGTGAAAACTCTTACCCCAGAAATCCTTTTGTGTTTCTGAGGAAACAATTTTATTTTCTCTGCCTTAAGTGTTTCTTTTTTTGACCATGCTTATGTCTCTGTCTTACTCTCCCGAATTTCTGACTCCTAGCTGAGGCCAGATCTTTTTATGTAAATCCCACACAATTTATTAATTCCACTGACTTTTGTAACTCTAATTCCTGTCTACCATACTACTACCTGTCTAGTAGTAATTTTATTCTGTTGTATAAAAAGTGAAAGGGAGAATTTGGTTTTTTTTTTTTTCCTTTTCTAAAAGTTATTACTGTTTTACTTCACATATCTTAAAACATTGTTCCAAATGTCATCTGCTGTTCCAAACTTTTTGCCATTTTTTTTGATTTTCTTTTTTTGTAGAACTTCATATGAATTAATTTCAGGCTACCTCACTGGCCTGTTAGCTGCATATTCATTCTCTTAACATGTTTCTTTCTGGCTTTTCCTGTGACCTCTGAGAGGGAAACATAGCCAGAATAAAAACATGCCCACTTACAGGAGTCATATTATGTGATTCGTTCTATTAAAATGTCATTTATATAATAAAATGTAGCTGCAGAGACACATTGTCCCCAGATACAGTAAAAGTGATTCTTCTTTATTGTATATGCTGTATCCAGTTACATTTCCTTACATTTATCATTAAAATCTTCATACCATCTTCCTAACTGTGAAGGAAACCTCTGTATCATCAGTTTGCATGATAAAAGATGTAACATGGAATTGAAGATAATATATGGAGGCACATATATCACCTACTGAATAGTGTAGTCTGATTGGTACTCTTTAAATGTATTTTTGGTAAGTTCAGTCAGATGGATTATTTTATGTATTTTTTCCCAAGCTTCCAGTGACAGTTTCAATGGTACAGGTTAAGAAGGTATAAGTTAAAAAAGGTAAATATGACATTGGAAGTCAACTGCAACATCTGGATTTGGAAGAAAATACTTTCAAATAAGAAGTGTTCTAATAACCTGCTCTGAATTGCAGACTTGTTTCAGTTTTCCTTCTTGTTGTGCAGATAACATTGAAGTGGCTTATCTAAAAACCCTGACCAAGGATGATATCATACAGTTCTACAAGGTAAGGTAGTCGTATAGTTAAAGTACTATTCAGAAAAAAAGATGTATATCTATTATGTGAGCTATGGAAACATATATTTGTTTGTTGTAGGAAGGTAATACGAATGATGCACATACCTTAATAGTAATTTTGTTTACTGAATCTTCCTCAGCTTAGTGGGAACTAGCATTCTGCAGGAATGGTGGAAAAGGGTTTTTCTTCTTGTCAGCTGCTGTTCTCATGTCATTTATCTTTCCTTTGTGAATAGAAAGCATGTTTCTGTATGATTCTCGACCCAGTTTAGCCAAGGTTGCAAATTTATTTATTTTTTTTATCTGAACCAGCAGATGATTCAGTGTATTTGGTCTCTGTGAACTGTGAATGGAAGAAAAATATTTGTAATGCTTTTCACACTGTAAATCAATACATGTCTTGTTCCTCTTTTGCAGAACAAAGGAACAGCATAATGATGCAATAAACATATGTTGCTACATGAAATTATTAGATGGAAGTCTAATAAAGGCAGTTGAAATACTGAGCTGGGCTAGGGAAAGTGATTACCTAAAAGGAAAAATCCTTCTATTTTGCACCAAATTCCGAATGCAGTGACAGTTCTGAGTGTTGCAAAGTGTGTGTGTGTTGTTTAATGACCTCGGAGCAGCTAGTAGTTCAGGCAAATAGTGCGGGGAAAATACTGTGCCTTTGGAAAAATGTCTACCCATATAGAAGCAGGGTGGGTTGATATGTTTATGCAGTATGTATGTATATGTGTGTGTTATAGATGCATATATAATTATGTGTACCTATGGGTGTGTGTATGTATATATATAGGTGTGCATGTGTGTGTGAATGTCTTCAAAACTGTTTCTCTTTGTACTTTGTCCTTTTCACTAGCCAGTCGTTCTCATATAACCTTCTATTTTAGTTTGCAATTTAATCTTCTGTTAAAACCCGGTTGCTGCTTAAATGGCACAGAGAACACAAATGTTTTTCAGACAGGGAGAAGTGCAGCAGATAAAAGACTAGTAAATGGAATTTCAGTAGCTGTTGTTTAATAACTAATAATATGAACAAGAGCCAACTTCCTAGTTTTGTAGGAATCTATTCTTACTGTTTAGTTATATATAAATATATATGCTAATGTAAAATACATGATTATCCAGTGTTGCAAAGCAGAAATAAGCGGCTGAGTGGGTGAACTGGTCCAGCTGCATTTAATATTTGTGTTCAGGATGATGTGCTTCCAGAAGGCTAATGGAGTTTGGAAGCTGCAGAGATTTTGGTTGCATACCTGATACTGGCTTTATTTCTGTTTCTTTCTTGTTGTTGCTTTTCCCGTGTGTGTGTGTGTGTGTGCATGTGTGCCAAGTGCTACATGAATTTCTTAAGCAACTTTGTCTAAAATGATTCAAATAAGTGTATGGGAGACCTCTAATAATATTTTAAGGGACATTTCAAAATTACCTCTCATTTTAAAACTTAGATTAAAATTAAATTGCTGCTGTTCTTCTGCTGATTTAAAAATATAATCTATAAATGCTACCCAAACCTGAAAGAACTGATAATGTTTTCTGCTGTAGGTGCTGTTAGCAATAGATGCTCCCAGAAGACACAAGGTATCAGTACATGTCCTTGCAAGGGAAATGGATTCCTGTAAGTATTGTACTGAATATAATATTTAATAATTTCCTGTTCAAACAGTCATAGTTAGCAACAGCCGTACTATATGCTGTAAAGACAGTGCACTGCATATATATTGTTCAGAGGAAAAGATAATCTTTGTAAGGTTTCTCCACATGGATGCTTCAGAATTTTTGATTGACACTTGTGGCCAAGTTATTCAGCTTTCCCTAAATATACTAAAATGATGTATTTTAAAATTTAGTGCTTCTCTTCTCAGGAGAAGATTTTAAAATAAATATAAAACTCCCCAACATTCCTGTTAGGAGGAAAAACAAAATTAAGATTTGCATTTAACAGTATAATGGTTTGGTAAATGGTGAATGTCTGCAAGTTATTAATCAAGCACTTTAAAAAAAAAAAAAAAAAAAAAGGAAAAAAAAAACCCTCAAACTTCTAAGAATATCAAATAATCAAATATATATAAATTTGAGAAAATGAAAGTTTTATTTAGGCTCTACTTTCAAGTAATCTAGATTAACTATGTATTGTAAACCATGTTACTCCACTCTAAAGTTCAAGAAGGAAAACGTTAAAAATGTTTACAATTTAATGTAAATAAACTAAGAGAAAAAAATTCTATGCTGTTTTGTGCAGATTTTTCACCAGTTTATAATGGAATTAAATTGCATTATATGGTTTGTATAATCAAGGATGGTAAAGGTTTGGCTGTGGAATAGAAGGAAGCAGATACTTCTTTTGCCTGTCCTGAGACTCCCTCCGGTCTCAGAATGGCTGATTTTATGGTACTATAGAAGTCATTATTCTGCAATTGTGTAAGGAAGATTTATTTTAAAATATCTAACCAATTTTCATGACTGATCATAGCTGAGCAGAAATAGCTCTCAGACTTTGCCAAACCGGAGAAAACATTTTAAAATCTAAAAGCTAAATTCCCAGAATGGCCTGTTCTTGAAAGGATAGCTCCCGGGATGAGGGTGAGTCCAGGAGACAGCCTACAAAACCGGTACCTTTACAGACATTACAGCAAGGTAACCTGTGCTGCTCTCTCCACACGTTCCCCAGCCCAAGAGCACTTTAATCAGGTGTGTGGCCTCTTTCCTGCCACTACAAGGAAATGGTACTTTCATATATTTCCGATGCACTATTTCCCCTAAGAAGGGAAAAAGTGGAAGCAGGAAAGTTAGAGAACAAGGATATAGGCAGAAAAAATATTTGAACTTACTGTGTGAGTGTCTGGGTTGGAATTGAGGAGATGGAGGTAAAAGAGGCTTGAGGAATTTAAGACTGGGAATTCTCTTGGACAGGTGAACTGAAAGCAAAGAATGGTTTTGGGTGGTGTGGAGTTAGGAAATAGCTGGGGACAGGCGAGGAAGGTTTGCGGATGCTAAAGAGAGTTTGATACATTGAATATCCCACCTTTTAAGTGTATCCTGCAAGAAAATTCAGATTTTGTTGCATTGCCATTGCTGCATATGCCATGGGCATTTATTATTGTTCACATAAATCGTGCTGAAAAAACAGTTGATGTTTTCATTGTTCAGTCAATTAGCAATCCGTATTTTTGCCCATTTCTTTGTGTGGAAGTAAAATGAATAAAAAACCACTACTCCTCAACACATAGTCTTAACTCAGGTCTTGGGTTAGTTTGAATTTCTGTGGAGACCAAAGTCAAAATCTTAAAAAAAAATTTATAAATGTTATAAGCTGTGCTTTCTGTATGTATCTATCTTATAAGAAAAGGAGTTAATATGTGTTAGATATTAATCAAATTATGGTCCTAAATTAATTTTGATAATGTTAAATAGGCCCTGTTGTTGGAGAATTTCCATGCCAAAATGATGTGAACCTGGCACCAGCACCAGCACTACCACAGGTAAAACTGTAGTAGCCCTAAAGGAACTGTAGTGGCATTAAAGAAAAGATTGCAGGGGAAAAAGTACAGACCCCTTCAAGTTTGTGCTGAAGTTCAGCTCTTTTACACGTGCGTTGTTATCCTCAGTAATGGCAGTTTTGCTCCTGACTTCTTTTTTCTAACTTGAATAGTCTCTCCTGTCGCCTTTGTTCCTATTATTCCACTGGAATAAAAGCTAATGAAAGTAGATTACTGATTATCTGCACTATGGAATAAAGTGCAGGTAATCGTTGTATGAAAATACTGAGTGCATATGATAGGCTATAATACATGCCAAGAGAAGGCTGCATATGCATCAACAAATTTATCATCTTTGTCTAAAAAAAGAAAATGCAAATTCCTGTCATTGTGTTACCTGTAGAGGAAGCAATTTGCCGACTTCTATTCATTACAAGTATTAGATTTCACTGCGATGCTTTATATGTGAGTACATGTAATAGCACTGAGGTTTACTGAACCTTAAATGAATTTACTTGAAGAAGGATGGTAATATTTGCCCCATTAGGTAACTACTTTCTTCCTTTAAAGAAATAAAACAAAAATGTTATTTTGAAATAATCACAGTAGAAATATGATAATTCATTAGTTGTTACTGTTTTTATGATCTTAATTCTGGTGTTTAAAGGATAGCTGGTATGTTCTGAAATAGAATTCATAAATGAAAAGACAAAGTAGCTGAGCTCTGTTTACTTGCCATTATTACTAGTGCTATTACTGCATTATACTGTTCTAAATTACCCAGAGTAAATACAAAACCATGTACTTCATGAGCAGTAAACCTCCACTTCAGAAGATCCCTTGATAAGGAATGGGAATCACGTTACAGAAACGAGAACAGCAAAGATGTGTTTATGTGGTTGTAGCAAAAGTTAAAACTTAAAGAGGGAGGATTTTTCCCACGTTCCCGATTCACGATACTGAGCAGACTTTCTCTTGCATACGCTTCTTTGCAGCCAAGTGTGATTGAAAATATGACAGAATTCAAGCGCAGTCTGCCACTCTTTCCACTGGTGAAACCACATATCAATTTCATGGCTGCAAAACTGTGAAGAATCCCAATGGATGAAGAAATGCAAATGATCAGTACTGACAAGGTTTTAAGGGATTTCATGATGAACAAAATTATTAAAAATTATTAGGATAAATGGTTCTGTCCATTATGAAAATCCTGCATATGTTCTTGGTTCATTCGACATTAACTGTGTGCTAGGGATAGAGAGTATAGAAAAATCAGTTGTGGTCATGTGTCATTTATATTGCAGAAAGCCTGTTGAAAACCAAAATCAGATGAAATAATAATAATAAAAAAAAAACTTGTAGATGCAGTATATTTTTAAAATAGTATATCCCTTTAAATTTTCTTTTTGATAAAAGAAGCCTCCAGAATAAACAAATTTTGCTTGTAATATCCACGTCATTATTGAAAAATACTGTTTAGTAGCCCAGTCATAATCTTACTGGGGACCGAAAGGGGAGAAAAGTCAGTCTTTGGGGCTTGGGGATAACAATTTTTCATAAAAAGAGACTTTCAAATGACACTTTTTTTAATTGATCCTTTATGCAGCCAACATATTTTCTATTTAAGTTTTATGAAGACCAACGGGGAAAAAAAGGAAATTTGACAACACAGTAATAAGTGAGGGAATTGTCTTAACAAGAGTAACTGAAGATACTGGCATGATTTTAATCTTTCTATACAAACTTTGGGACGTTTTATATTCAAACTAGTAAAATGCTGGAAACACTTTGTTAGTCCCTCTTATTTCTGTTACCAGAAGTGTTGTCCTAATCTTTTGATATTACAAACATCCTATTCAGTTTGTCAGGGTTACTCTAAATTGTTGCCAATTGGTATATAAAAATATTCAATCTTGGTGTCATTCTTGTTTTCCATTCCTCATACACTATAGAAGTTCTCCATCAGCACATTTTGCCTTTTTGTCACGTTAGGTCTCAGTCCAGCAAAGCACTTATTAGTGCAAATACCTTTGCGTGCATAAGTGCTTAAATTTAAGAACAGATGAAGTCAAAGATGGGGCTGTTTAAGGAATCAGTGGAGTTCTTGTGTGTCTGGCTGGGTCCTGCTGCTGCCTGGCGCAGGACGTGGTCGGCAGCGCCGCTGCAGCGCGGTGCTTGCTGCAGGTTACATCACAGGGTGATGGTGCCAGGTTCTTTGGAAAGCTGCACAAAACTGAGAAGGATCAAGGATTATGTGGAGATGTTATAGGTGTACAATGAAGCAATATATTGTGTTCACCAAGTTGCTTTTGCAGATGATTGTTCTACTTGAGACAACAAATCAGGATAAAGTCTTCAAATAAAAAAAAAAAGGTAATGGAGCATCTTACTAATTACTAAACTCTTTTACCTTTTAATGCATATAATTAATTATTCAGACAGGATGTAGAATGCAAAGCACTGAAGATGTAAAACCTGCTCGTGTGAGCCCTTCCTATCAGGGCTGCTGCTGCCACTTCATATTAAGAGAGCCTGAAACTAAGGGCCCTCAGGATCCCAGCATCTTCAGTAGGGCTGTTCTTGCCATTGGCATCGCTATTCCCATGTACACTGATGCTGAATTTAAATAGGCACTTGACAGGATTAGGGCTTTACTTGTGTTTCCATCAGAATCTGTTTTAATTGAGTAAATACAGGGTATTTAAAGGCTTTTTTTTTTTTTTTTTTTTTGCGAGGTTAAGAGTGCATTTGTTTCAACATCTCTTTTAAGAAATTGATGCTATTTTGTGATGTAACCTGTTGCCAGAGAAGGCCACTTAAATTTTTTTGTAGCCTTAGGAAAAAAAATGGGGCGTAGTATAAATAAAAACAGTATTGGGATCTCTGCTGAGTTTACCACATTTTTCATGGATTTTTCACATGTAAATGCGTTTCTTACCCTCTTGCATTTTGCTTTTGTTGATAATTCTATTTTAGTAAAAATATTTGTATTATATATATAAAAGTTTTGACAGCATTATAAAATATATATTTTGGGACTTAGTATTTAAACATACCACTCTTATGGTGAATAAAATTAAATTGCTTCTGTCATATGTAAAAATAAATATATATATATATACATGAAAGTACAATGAACTCTGATTTTAACAAACTGTGTGAATTGGAACAGCAGTGTGTTTAACATAAACTCCCAAATCGTGTTTACCAGAGGAAAAATGTGGATTTTAAAAATTCTGTAAGTGGATGTGGAAACCCATGTTTTAATTGTTTTTAAGTGTTCTCCAGCATTTTACAGTTTCTGAGTTTGATATAGCAGTAAATTTTGATAAACTCAGGCATACTAATGGATTCATTTTAATGGATCCAAAGCTGCAGTGTCTACAAGCAATAAAAAACTACCTAGACTACACTGTAATTCAGTTTTAGTGCTTGTTAATTAGTTTATGTAAGAAACCATAAATTATTATTACATAACTGTAATTTTTGCAAGTGCTATTTTGAGCAGTTTATGTGGAATTGGGTGCATGTGACACAGCCAGTATGACAGAGTGCTAGAGTTATTCTGTTTACAATAAACAATCTGAATTTAACCTTTGGAGTTCTTAATTTGTTTTATTTTAACATACTGGTAATGTTACATCTATCATTCTATGCATTTTTTACTGTTATTTTTATATATTAATCATGAATTGCAAATACGCAGTTGTCTGCAGTAGTTAGGCAGGAGAGGACTGCTCTGGAGTGTTTCTGGTCCCTTCTTGGGAGGATTGGGAGGACAGTTGTCTCCCCATGTGACATCCCACATCGTGTGGACAGATCAGCTTTGTTGCTGGGTATATGAGAATTTTATAAAATAATGGTAGACAAGATTTTTTTTTTTAATTATCAAATCTGAAATTGTAAATTCAGAGTATCCCTTCTGCCTAACATTAACTTACTCAGTGCAGCTTTACAGTGTTGGCTTTTGAGAGATTGTTTCTTCCAGTTTTCTATGTTATATGCACACCAGAGGATTATTTTCAGAAAGCTTAGAAATACCTATGATTGTTTGGAGACTCAATATTGTGAACTTTGGCAACCTAAAGTAATAAATCAGACTGCACTTCTGCTGTTGTAATGCGGCTCCTTCAAGTAGCATCTTTCTTTTGGCAAGAGAAAAAGAGAATGGTTTTGACCTTGGTGTTGGGAAGAGTGATTGGAAACCACAGCAGGGGTATATAGAAAATATGAGAGAAAGAGGTATGTAGAAAATATGTACAGAAATACAGAATATAGGCCAGGCATAAAACGTTTTGTTCCTAACATTGGGGCTCTTTCTCTGCTCTGACTGTTACGGATTGGCTTTATTACCTTTTGCAAAAATATCTTTAACCAAAAATCAAGCTACCCAGATTTACTTGGTCACATTGTCACTGTTAGCCATAGAGATAGCTGGGCTTATTGCTGCGGATATTGCTTAAGTGTTTAGATTTGAACAGTTTTTAATGATAATGTTTTTGATAGTGTAATTAAATGTTGTGTGGAAAAAGCACTACCTATTTAAATTCATTATTTTCTAGCTTTTGTTATAACACAAGATCAGTGAAATATTAGTTTACCTTCTATACCATTAAGTTTTTAATATGCTTTTGTTATAGCTCCATTGCAAAGTACAAAATCCTAATCTTCTACATCTTTCTTCATAGGTTTTAGCTCTATTTTTTCATAAGGCTTATGATTGAATTGATAATATTGTCAACAGTGATGCCTCGGTCTTTTCCAACTGGTAGTAATTTGTCATCCAACAAACTCAACTCAGAAACTTAGTTTCAGCTTCATTTTCAAGTCAGTTTATTACTGCCTGCCACCTCCTATATTATTTTGAAGGAAGGAAGAGATCAGGGACTCGGGCACCTTTCTCACCTTTCATGTAATTTTTTGAGAAGTTTTGCCTTTGTAGATCCCACTGGAAGGGTTTTGTGTGAAGTGTTTCGGAGCACACATACTATTCAAAGAAATCCTCCTGAATTAAAGCATATGCTGTATATGCTGTTGGTAGAATGCAATAGTGATCGTATGTGAAATCTGAATTGCAAATCAAAAGGAGAGTGTAAGGCCAGGGGCCCAGCAGATTTGGAAAATGTCACACTTGCTTGAACTCAAGAATTAAATATTTAAAATATTTATAGCTTTTTAGATTAATACTTTTAAGCCTCTCCAAGGCTGTTAATTAATAGCAAAACACATTAAGGGATTTAAACACCCCAGTGCTTGGCATTTACTCCTCTTATATTTTAGGAATCACTCTTTTGTAATGCAATGCAAAATCCTGAAGTGGAGCCCTCGACTGTTTATGCAATGTTGGCATGTAGGGCAAGGAGCTGAGGAGGCTACGTGCAAGGAGATGCAGTGAGAGGGGAGGCAAGATTAAATCTTGCTTCTTTTTGACTTTTTTTTTTTTTTTTTGTGTATATTAGGCGTGCTGAAGCCTTCTGCTTCAAATTTCCATTGCAACTTTTCCCTACTGCTGGGTTTCCCTTTTGAGAAGTCACTCTTACAGTGACTGCCAAAAATAAGAAAACTTTTGACTGAAGTGTCAGCTGGAGCTCAGGAACCTCCTGCAGGGCGCAAGCCGGGATGTGCTGTGGTGCATCCAGGCTCACAGGTGCCTCTGTTCTGGTCCTGAGCGCTTGGCCTACAAGATAGAGCAAGAGCAGGGAACAAGGAGGTCTCCAGCCTCTGCTACTGCTCTCCTGATGAGGTGGGAAAAATGCCCTAGAGAAAGCCCTTAACAGAAGGGAGAACTGAGTCATTATTTTCTATAACTTGCACTAAGGATTGAGCTGTGGAGTAAAAGAATATGGGGTGTGTGTGGGGGGGAGAGCGAGAGAGAGAGAGAGAGAGAGAGAGAGAAAAGGATGAGCTCCTGTGGTGAGAGAGGTTGAAGGATACCTGCATATGGATCCCAAGGAGATGTAGGTGGGAAGCAAATACTGACATGTTCACCATCATTAAGGCCAAGTCATTGCAGGCAATGTGAAAAAAAAGGTAGTCAGGGAAATCTAAACGTTAGTGACAGCTGAGTGCGGGCTTTGGAGAACTAAACTTTAGATACAAAGTGTTTTAGTGCGTGAATAGAGCTCTTAAAATGTGCTTTATAGTTATCGAAGTGATGTGCCTGACAAAGAAATGTTGGAACAGGTTTAAAGCATCAGGAGCTTGTAAACGTTTCCCAGCAGTATTGCTCAGAAATGGTTCACTTGGTATTTTTCAAACTTTCCAGCTTGCTTTAGAATGAAATCAGGTTAGCTTGATAGAGCTATCAACTCAATTGAATATTTGCACGTGAGT